CAACCACAGCAATGAAAAAGTACATACTTTCAGACTGTAAGAGCCGGAGGAGGTAGGCGACCACAAGGAAATAAAGTCTTCCAGATGGGTGGTCAGTTATTCACATGAACTCATAGTAATGGTGACAGTATGTACAAGTCAGCTCTACCCAAGCTCAAACTAGATAAAATCCCAGCATAGACATGGGGAAGTGAGTAAGAAATCCCAACCCAACCTATGGAACTAAGGCAGTTGTTGATGGCTGCTGGAAGGGGGAAAACAATGTCTTACAGGGATGGGACTCTTGGTGAGCCCAGTGGATGGACTCACACTGACGGACATTGGGGAACACAAATCATAATAGATAGGTAGATAGATAGGCTCCAGAGAGTGTATATAAATACATATATATATGAAAGTTCATTGAATTGGGTGTGGATCTAAATGCCATTAAACTATATTGTATGAAAATCTCAATAATTCAATAAAAAAGTTGATACTATCAAACTACTAATAACAGCTTAAGTTTTATAAAGTTTCCCCTTAATATATGTTTCTTAAGGGCTATAACTCAATATAATAGTAAAAATGTTATTACTTTTAAGAGAGATCAAAGGAAAACTTGTGGGACTTGGCTCTTCTCTTTCACCATGAGTCCTGGGATCAAACTCAGGTTGTCAGGCTTGGTGGCAAGCACCTTTATCCACTGAGTTATCTCACCAGCCCAATATGTATCAAATTCTTAAAGTGGTTTTAAACTTAGCAATTTCTTTTTAGAAACATATCTTTAATAATAATAATAATAACAACAATAGCAAACAGCAGGTCTTACATAGCACTTACTATATATGTGTGAGGCCCCAGGATTACACATCTACAAAGCTGAAGATCTAGAATTGAACTCGGGAACCCCAATTCCAAACCTTGTGCTCAAACAATTGTTACTGTCTTACTATGAGTATGTTCACCACAGCTTTGATTATAACAGAAAAGTTTAGAAATAAACTAAATATCACGTAACCATCTCCAACTGAAGCAAGGTGTTTGTCTGAAGAGATGTTCTTATATTAGCAGACTTGAGTTAGAATCTTTGTGGGTTTGTGTGTGTGTGTGTGTGTGTGTGTGTGTATGTGTAAGGGTGTATACATGCATGTGTTTGCAAGTATGTGTGCACATGTGTGCAGATGCATGTGGAGGCTAATATTTTACTTTTATTTTATTTTATTTTATCTATGAGTGTGTTGCCTGCATATATGTAAGTGCACCCATGTCATGCAATGCCCACAGAGGTCAGAAGAGGGTGTCAGATCCCCTGGAACTGAAGCTATGGACAGTTGTTAGCCGGCATGTGGGTGCTGTGAATTGAACCCAGGTCCTCTGCAAGAGCAGCCAGTGCTCTTAACCACTGAGCCATCTCTCCAGTCCCTCTTCACCTTATTTTTTGAGACAGGGTCTCTCACTAAACTTGGTGATCACCTGATTTAGTAAGATTAGCTGGTCAATGAACCCCAGGATCTTCCTGTTTCTGCCTCCCCAGTGATGGGATTACAGGTGCAAGGCTCTACACCCAGCTTTTCACATGTGTGTTGGGGATCCGAACTCAGGCTCTTATGCTTGTGTGGCTTGTTAATGGAATGAGCCATCTCTACAGCCCCGAGCCTGAATCTTCTAATATGAATTAGCTGTGTGATCGTCAACCTCTCCATGACTTACTCCACATATTCTGTAGGATAACACCAATTCTGAATTGGTGATATTGAAATAAAGTATTCAGATACTTAATATATGGATGGGTCTCCCTAACAGGGGTTTTTACCTACACAGTTCCCTTGCCATATTGCTTATTCAGGTAAAATAAAGGTTAGATTTAGCAACAGGCAAGAGAAGCTTCTCAACACAGAGATGGTAGGAAATCCCACTTAAAATGATCCTTTAGGATTTTATATCTAATACAACACCTCCTTCATTGCAACCTATTGAAAGCCAGCCTTCTGGGCATAGTGGCTTATGCCTACAATCCTAGTACTCTGAAGGCTGAAGTAGGAGGATCATAAATTCAAAGCAAGTTTGTGTTCTATAGCAAGTTCAAGGCCAATCTGAGCTACATCTAAGACCTTGCCTTAAAATTTTTTTTAGAAGGCTGGGCGCAGTGGCGCATGCCTTTAATCCCAGCACTTGGGAGGCAAAAGTAGGTGGATTTCTGTGAGCTCAAGGCCAGCCTGGTCTACATAGCGAGTTCCAGGCCAGCTGGGGCTACTGGGAGACTCTGTCTCAAAAAGACAATTTTTTTTTTTAGAAGAAGAAAGGAAGAAAAAAACTCAATCCTTTATGAAAAAGTCTGTTGGGGGGGGGGAATAAAAAAGTCTTAGATTGATGTTGCAAGGTATGGATAACTCAGTCTAAGAAATTAATAATGAATATATTTATATTTCAAAAAGGCCTTCTGATGGCAAGAACAGATGGGACACATCTTTGTTTACTCAGAAAACATGCAAGTCATGAAATAGATACAGAGTATAGACAGATATTGAATATTGTGTCTGTTTGAGTTTTCCAACTTGATCATCAGGTTTGAGTACTTCTCTTTCTTCATCTAAGATTTTCTCCACTCTGTCACCAGCTAGTGGGAATTCCTCCAAAGTCTCAACTCAGCTATGGTCCATCTATGATGTCTGAATTTAGGAAAAGAGTGTATTCATGTCCCACTATTGTGTGGGTTTCAAAAATGTCAAAATAAAAGTTGAAAACAATTCCAAATTATAATAGAAGCTAGTTATCACAATATGCATCAATGGATTTATATAATCATTGTTTGTAATGGAAATAATCATAAAGTATTGCAATGTCCCAAAAAGCTGAATGACTAAGAAAAGCCACACAATTAAGAGGATAAAGATCAAGAGAATTCATATCTATAGTTCAAATCCACATATTTCCTAGAAATATACAATGAAATAACATGAAATGGGAAAAAAAGAATTCATAATTGCAGCAATGAAAAGAGGGACAAGTGTTTACAAAACTCAAAAATGCATTTGGTCAGCTAGACATTTTCTCTTCTGGGTAAGGTTGTCCATATTGACAACAGAAGAAAGTAACTAGTAACATCTAGAGAAAAATCCTATTATTCACTGAGCAAACATATTCCATGTGTGAAAAGAATGGCCAGGGGAAACTGCCTATTAAGTGGAAAAGAGGATCACCAAGGCATAGCATGCTTCAGTTATTAAACTAATATGCAAGGATGCTTTGGCAACTGGGGCCCAATTACTGGTGTACAGTTTAACCTACTACCTGGAACCTAATGGCAGATTTGGGATTTTTCTTAATCAAAGTAATTATTCAGAGAAACATACTCAATATAGAGCCTTGATTGCTGCTGTCAGGTTTTATTTTTACATGATAGTCCTCAGTCCCTTAATTCAAAGACTGCATACACAGTTAAAAAACAAAATTAAGCCTGATGGTTTTTACTATTCCTGTGGTTTGATTTCAGGTGGGATAGATGAGAATGGGTAGCTTACATTCAGGAAGTCCCAACTATCTTTCGCAAGCACTTTGTGTCTGAAACAGAAACTCACAAATCATTCAGTAGTGGAATTAACATCATCTTATAGTTCCAGTGATGACTGACAGTAACTCAAGTTAGTTGGGTTGTACATATCTTTTAGTATTACAATTAGTATTCTTAAATCTTTTAAAATTACTCTACTTTAGCCCTAGGGGTAAAATGTTTCAATAGGTTAAAAATACATACGCTGATTCAAGATAGGATTTCTCACACATCCAACCTCTGTACTTTGAGTTGTAGAGCAATATAGAGTATTTCTGGCACTGACTCTTTGGCAATGTTGTCTAAAATATTCTTTTACACACAGGCCAGGATTTTAAAAATTTATACTTTCATACTCTTTCTTTAATGTAAGAACTATAATAATTGTTTTGAAAAGTGATTTCTTAGTATTATGGTTAAGAGATTCCCAACTGACTCAAAAGATCGAGCTAAAATGCAGATAAAGTTTGAACACAGCTTCCAAAGTTGAGATCCATACTGCATAAACTTATGAAATTTTTAAGTCAAGCACTAAGTTTTCTGGTAATCTCTTTGGGGGTATCACTGTATTAACAAGATTGAGATATAACGATAGCTACTAAAATTATTTGTTCCACCCAAAATGATCAGGTGCCGATCCTAGGTAAAAATTCACCATCTGTGGCTGGGGGTGTATCTTAGGATACAGGGTTTGTCTAGAATGCATGAGGCGCTGGGTTTGATCTCCAGGACTGAAATAGATATCAGCATGTAGGTGACTTGAACAAAATAGTTATTTCTCTGATCCAAATCTGCTGTCTCCACCAGTGAGAATACATAATTTCTAAATTAAAACAAAATAAATGGTAAACAGGAGGACGCCAAGAGCACTATTCATTGGTTCTTACTACATAGCACTTGTATTCTTCAAACCACTGCATTAAGACAGCCTTCGGTCATAGAATTGCTTTTCTTTTTCATAACTTTAAGCCATGGGATTAATTATAAAAGCATAGAAAGTTTATCAACAGAACGATGACACTATTTTAGTTTAAAAGCAATTTGAGGAAATGGTAGTTAAAAGTCTAAATCAGTACAAAAGAAGACAACAAAAAGGGAACTAAGGGGTCAAAAGAAGACAACAAAAAGGGAACTAAGGGGTCAAACGGACTTCCTTGGGAGATGTTTGCCCTGAAATGGATTGAAAAATACGCATCTCAGATAAGCAGAGTCCCTCAGATTGCCAAAGGCAGACCTCCAATAACAGAAAGGACTCAATGACACTGTGTTTCAATGGGGAAACTCGGTAAACTTCAGTTCCTCCTACTGCTCTCTTGACCAAACAAAATTAAACAAAACAACAAACAAAAGCGGAAAAACCACCAACAGGGCAAGGCAGGGTTTACCTGTTTGGAGCTCATCAGACGGGGACGAGACGCTGCGATTTAAAGAACCTGAAGGCGGGGGCTGAGGGCTTCGAGGCACCTACCTCTCACGGATTTCCCAATGCTGTGTAAGTGGGTGATGGAACTGTAGTTCTGGGCAACGCTCTTCAAGAATGCTTCCATGCCTTCCTGGTGGTGGTATCGGAAATCCAGCGCGGCCAGCACAGGCAGCAGAAGCCCGAGCCACAGGCGCGAGAGGTCCATGTCCTAGAGATGGATGGGAAGCAGAGAACGCTGACGACCGCCGCGGGAAGCGGGAGCACCTGAGCGATCCGAGCCCTCTTCCGAGGGGAAAGTTGAGGGGACCCTTCAGGAGCCCGGAGCCCCGCAGCCCGCCGCCCGCGCACCCCATCTCACCTCTGCCCAGGCGCGCGTCTCTGCGGCCGGGGGCAGCCAGGCGCTCCACAGAGTTATAGCCCGGCCAGGGGGCGGGGTCCGGGGCGCCCCGCCCTCCCAGTCCGCCCCCTCCACCGCGCCCCCGCCCCAGGGCGGGGCCTCCGCCGTCTCACCCAGCACCGCGGGCCAGGCTGGGTTTCCAGGTGCTGCCGCCTGGGCCAGTGGGCGGCGGAGGGAGGGCGAAGTGCCCGCGCTTCTTGGTGGACGTGCGACCCGGCATCCGCCACCGTGGTCCCGGGACGGGGCACCCAGGCAGGAGACGGTGCCCGCGGTGGGCGGTGCCGGCCACCTGGAGTCTAACCTATCTGCCTTCCAGCCTGTGCTGCACTTGGGGTATTGGGGGGTGGGGTGGGGGGAGAGGCTTTTAAGAAAGACGTGTGTGTGTGTGTGTGTGTGTGTGTGTGTGTGTGTGTGTGTGTGTGGTGTAGACTTTAAGTGCCGTCAAGTGTGCAGTACAGGAAATTTTCCAACAGATTTATATAGTAGATGGGATTTGACTAAATCAGAGTTAAGTTTATAACCAACCCGGACGGAAAAAAGCAGAGCCACTGTTGGAAATCTGGTTCTTTAGGCCAGTTTCAGTTCTCTCTTCCTAAGTTGTTGCTTTCTGGAAGGATAGGGTGGGCTGTGTTGGCACTGAACACAATATAGACTGCCTGCTACTGATGCAACGGAGTGGTTTGTGGCACAGGCCATCCTGCTCTAAAGGACACCACACACACTGTCATCCCTGTCTGTTGGATCTGTCAGAAATACCGACTTACGCAAGAGTCTGGTCAGTACGGACTTTGAAAACTACTGATTTGTGATAGTATTCTTCTTGAACAGATTTAAAAATATTGATGACAGTGGCGATCCCTGTGGCCATCCCAAAAGGGGACGGTAAGGATGCAGGAAATGGCTCAGTCGGTAAAGGCGCTTGTGGTGCAAGCCTGGCCACCAGAGTTTGATTTTCCAAACCCACATTAAGATAGGAGAAAACAGAGTCCACAAAATTGTCCTCTGATCTCTACAGGTATCTTCTGGGGACATGTGGCTGGTGATGCATTTCTCCCAACCACCACCATGCACACGTATAATATTAATTAATTAGTTGTCTTAAATGTTTAAAAAAATAAAAGGGACCTTGAATGAGTCCAACATGCCTTTCAGAGTGGAGCCTGTGGGCTGATTGCCCACCTTTTGTCTTACAGATGCAGGTAGAGCTAGAAAACAGTACTTGGGGATCCCTGAGGGCCCCTGTGATTCCAGGCAGCAAAGCCCGGTGTTTAAATGCCAGTCCTTCATCTGACACTTGGTCCCCATGTGGATTCACTGTGCCTTAGTTTTCTGGCCTGTAAAATGAAAATCTTATTTTAACTCACTGAATAAAGGTTGGCAAGCACATTGTTAGAACCACAAGGTGTTTATTAAATAAGTAACCCAGTTTAATGAATACATCTTTAAGGAGAATTTTCTGAGAGTTGGAAAATCTTAACACAGCACTTGGGTTTTGAAGGGAGATCTTTTCTTTTCGTTCTTTTCTTTTCTTTTCTTTTCTTTTCTTTTCTTTTGTCTTTTTGAGACAGGGTCTCCCTGTAGCCCCAGATGTCCTGGAACTCTCACTATGTAGACGAGACTGGCCTTGAACTCACAGAGATCTGCCTGCCTCTGCCTCCTAAGTGCTGGGATTAAAGGTATGTGCCACCACACCAGGCTCTGAAGGGAGTTTTATTTTATTTATTTATTTATTTTAAACAAACAAATAGATGCAGTAGTTGCTATGTAAAAATGTGACTTCTGCCAGAGGCCTTACTGTTCATGGGTGAGGAGGCCCCAGAGGAAGAGGGGACTGTGGCTTGGGGAGAGTCACTGCACTTTAGGCAGTGACTAGAAGGGATAGTATAGGGAAGTAACTGGGAGTAGGGTAAAGGATTGCCACTAGAAGTGACAGAAGCAAAACAGTGTGACTTCTTGCAGTGGTGCTGTGGCTGGAGCCTGGGGGAAATGGTGGTTTCCACAATACTGAGAGGGATTGCCCCACACTATTCTAGAAAAACAAGGGGTGAGATATAGTTGAAACTGATGCCCAATAAAGAAAATCAGTTTATTACCAGTGAGAAAGCACATTTAAGACACCTGGAGTGTGTCACCTTGGAGTATGCAGGGAATACAGGATCTCTTGTCCTATTGCAAGTCTACTGAATCAGATTTCCAGACACCCATCCTACATTCAGATTTGAGATCCACTGATCTAGAGAAAGAGAGAGAAAAAAGAAAAGGTTCAGTGTTAGTATATGAATGATACAGGAGGATAAAAGTTTAGGCTAATAGAGGAAAAAAAAAAACCCAGGAAAACTTAAGATTTCAGAGGTGATCTTTCTAGCATGAAATGATGGAAGGGAAACCGTAATTCAAAGACTGATAATTTGACTATGTAAAAGCATATGGCTTCTATACAGGCAAACTCAGAATAAAGCTTACAAGAAGAAAAAGGACAAACCAAATCATTTGAATATCCCTACAGGCACATGTGTTGAAAGCTTGGTTCTATGTGCCGTGTTCAGGGGTGGGGCTTTTGGAAGCTGATTGGACTACAAAGGCTCTGACTTCATTAGTGGATCGATACATTGGTGGATACATAATTGATGGCATTATTGGTAGATGATAGAAACTAAGAGGTAGGACTGGGAGGGGTAAGTAGGTCATGGGGGACATGCCGTTCAAGAATCTACTCCCTACTCTGCTCACTCTCTGTTTCCTGCACTTTGCAAGGTGAGTGGCTTTGCTCTATCACAATTCCTACTGTGATTCTCTGCCTCACCACAGCCAAGAGCTTACAGACTGAAGCCGCTCAGCCTTTGAGCCAAACTAAATCTTCCTGTAAGTTGTTTTTCTTGGGTGTTTTGTTATAGTGACAAAGGCTGACTCATACACCAGAAAACAGAATTAACAGCTCTTACAAAAATCACGAATGGGCAACAGACATTAATAGGTAGGTCATAAAAACAATAATATATGTAGCCAAGAAACACAGCAAAAGGTGCAGAACTGGCTAACAATCAAAGAGTTATTTAAAGGGCAAAATAATATTTGTTTTGCTGGAGCATAGTTTTAAAATGATTGACAGTGCCTGGAAAAAGATATGATCTGGGGAAATGATATGTATGCTCTTTCAATTGTGTTATAAATGATTATACTTTCAAGAGGCAGCCTGGGAAAAGACAGCACAATTTCAAGTGCACAATTTCATCTATTACAGCAATTTAAAGATGTGCTGCATTTATACTGTGTAGGTTACAGCTTCAAGAGCACTGCTGTTTTAAAATTCCGACAAAGTAAACAAAACCTAAATGTCAGACAACAGAAGACCGCTTACAGTGATGCTCATTGGGCAATATTGTCCTAGGAGATACTTGGCAATACCTGGAGCCATTTTTGATAGTTATGACCTGGGGAAAGTGTTCCTGGCATCCAGTCCTGAGGCGGTGGGTAGGTAGGCTACTGAACATTCTACAGAGCTCAACATTGCCTGCCCCAGCAAAGAACCATCCAGCCGAAGCATCAGTCATGGTCAGGTTGAGACAGTCTAAGATGAAGAATAGTGTGGCCACTCAACTTTTCAGCTTAGTAATGATGATAGAATCACTACATATTAACTTTGAGACAAACTAAAGACAAATTGTCAGTGGAAAAATGCAGATGATAAAAGTAAAAGTCGGATCTTTTGGGATACAACAGATTAAAAACTATTGCTAAAGAAATGTTTAAAAAATTATAAACATGTAGGGGCTGGAGAGATGGCTCAGTAGTTAAGAGCACTGACTGCTCTTGCAGAGGACTCGGGTTTGATTCCCAGCAATTGTACAACATGGGTGCACTCACATACATGCAGGCAATACACTCATACATATAAAATAAAAATAATTTTAAAAATTATAAACATTCTAAATGATAATCCTTGGGATGCAACATTTCAATTTTCTTTTTCTTTTTTTTCTTTTTCCTTTTTTTTTTTTTATCTTTTTGAGATAGGGTCTCCCCATAGCCCCAGCTGTCCTGGAACTCACTATGTAGACGAGGCTGGCCTTGAACTCACAGGGATCTGCCTGCCTCTGCCTCCAGAGTGCTGGGATTAAAGTCATGCACCACCATGCCTGGCCTCAATTTTCTTTTTAAAAAAATATTGTATTTATTATTTTTATTTTTATGTGTATGAGTGTTATGCCTGCATGTAGGTAAGTGCACCTGTGTCGTGCAATGCCGGCCGAGGACAGAAGAGGCTGTCAGATCCCCTGGAACTGGAGTTACGGACAGTTGTCAACTGCCATGTGGGTGCTGGGATTCAAACCCGGGTCGTCTGCAAGAACAATCAGTGTTCTTAACTGCTGAGCCATCTCTCCAAGCCCTCTTTTTTTTTTTCTTAAAGTTTGTGTGTTGTATGTGGGTGCAAACGTGCCAAGACGTGCGTGTGGAGATTGGAGTACAGCTTGCAGGAGTTGTCTCCTGTGGGGATCTCAGAGATTGAATTCAGGCCAGCATCAGGCTTGGCAGCAAGCACTTGTACCCACTGAGCCAATTCATTGCATTGCCCCCACCACCACCACTTTAAGCTATGGGTTCTCAGATCAATTTTTTTCTGAGCTAAATGTTACTTCTTTTCATTTTAAGAAATGCATTTTTACCTAAAAGCAAAGCTGAGCAGAAAGCACAGAAGCATTAGAGATGAACAGCTCTGAACGGAGACGGGATCTAAATGTCATCGGAGTGAGTTACAGAACTGGAGAGGAAGCTAAAGGCCATCGGGAAAAATGGGATAGTAAGGAACTGAAAAGTGAAGGTGTTGGACTATTCATGGGCCTTGAGAGTCCCAGAAAACAGTAGCAGGAATCAAAGCAGAGGGGAAAACTACGGTCAGAAGTTAAACACCTGAACAGATGTTTGTAAGAGTGAAAAGAACAGTGTAACTAGACTTGGTGACTTTCTTTCTTTGTCTCTTGCTTTCC